GAAATCGTAGTTGACGAGAAGGATTAGCACACAAGTTATGAATTGAGACTCTTCATACAAGAAAAATATGAGTACAATCCTTTTATTCTGTGTCTGGGCTGAGGTGCTACCCTGCTAAGAGTGAGGTTTACTATGGGGATGTGATTCCTAGTGTTCAGGCTCAGATTTCTTCTAGAACTGGGTTTGCCATAGGGCATCTTCCTGTGAGATACCTGGGGATTCCTCTCATTGCAGGGAAACTCAACAACACTGATTGTCAAGCTCTGGTGGAAAAGATCACCGCTAGAATAAGAGGCTGGAAGGTTAGGACTCTGTCATATGCTGGTAAGCTGCAGCTCATATCAGCTGTTATTTCTAGCATTACCCAGTACTGGATGGGAATCATCCAACTCCCAGTCAAGGTGATTAAAATGATTGAGAAAGCCTGTTTTGACTTCCTATGGAATTCAGAGGAGGAGGGGAAAAAAGCTAAGGTTCTATGGCAGGTGGTAGCTAGACCTAAAAAGGAGGGGAGATTAGGGTTCAAAGACCTCAGGAGCTGGAATATGGCATGCCTTGTCAGGCATCTCTGGGCCATCTCTTCAAACTCCTCTTCTCTGTGGGCCAGCTGGGTCAGACACTACCAAACCTCATACACTTCCATCTGGGAGGTACCTGATTCCATCCCCTGCTCCTGGGCCTGGAGGAAGGTTTTAAAGATCAGAGGCAAGGTGGCTCAGCATCTTACAGTCAGGTCTGCTAAAGTCTACTGGAATGATTGTGCAATGGAGAAGTTCTCAGTGAAAAAGGTTTGGGAGACACTTAGGGTGAAGCATGAGAAAGTTGGCTGGTATTCTCTAATCTGGAAGTCACTAGGAACTCCTAGAGATAAGATGCTTGTCTGGTTGGTTGTTCTGAACAGATTATCTACCCTTGATAAGATCCAGAGATGGAATAGCTCTGTGATCAATGTCTGCCCCCTATGCACTACTATGGCAGAGTCAAGGGATCATCTTTTCTTTGAATGTCCCTATTCCCAGTGTGTTTTGTAGGATGTGTTTGCAGGAAGGAATATGGTGGGAGCTAGCTGGGAGGGTTCACTGGCTACTGCCACATCTCTATTCCGACCTAAGGGCCCCCATTCTGATCGTGGTAGGCTTCTTTGGGTGATGGTGGTGGCTGAACTCTGGAGAGAAAGGTGCAGAAGAGTTATGGCGGGAGCGGTATTGTCAGAAAACCAGCTCCTTTTGAAGCTACAAAAGTTGTTGCGCCTGCTTAGAGGCGGTTATCCTCAAGTCGAGCCTGCACTTTCGGAGGAGTATGTAAATAGTATAGTGTAGGTAGTTGGTCTAGTTATTTGTGTTCTGTTTTGGACTCTTCTGGTGATTTTGTTACTCTTTGTATTCGGTTTTGGGTTCCAGTTAGAGGGGTTTTATCATTAGAATCCCTCTTCCTTGATGAATAAAAGCTGCTTATTTATAAAATAAAATAAAAATTTGAGTACAATCTAGTCTTTCTCTAGAAATATTGAACTACCTTTGTTACCGATGACAGGATTTTCCAAAATAAAAGCCTTTTTCTGTGTTTCTGAATTGTGATAGCCATAAAGCCCACTTTTCTCAAATATGGAATCTATCGGCCCAATTGATCTCGCCTCTCAGTTTCAGCTTACCCCTTCGTCCCGCGAACGAGCCAGCGCATCATCGTCACACCATGCCTACCTGCTTAAACCCTACTACTGCTATTCTTCACAATCCCTTCGGCTCGTTGGTTACTACAGAAACACCAGATGAAGCTTCCCCTCGCTCTCTAGCAGTGGCGTAGCCAGGATTTTGAGTAAGGGGGTGCCAATTTAAAAAAATTAAAATGACTATCAATTTTTTATAGTGACCCACGACGGGTTTTTATATTTTGAAAAGTCTGTAAAATACATTCGTTTACTTCTTGAATAAGCATGTAATTATGAGGTTTTTTAATTTAATTTACTTATTATTTGTAAACGGTAAATTATATATATGCAATAGAACGTATTATTGTATCATGTAAGTAATTGTTGTTTAGTGGAAGATGTCAAAGCTAATAGTAAGGGGGTTCCATGTTCAAATCCTAGCTATAGCATAAACTAATACCCCTATTTTTTAATGTTCTAGCCCCGACCCAAGGGTGTGCCACGGCACACCCTTCTAACACTGTGTCTCCGCCCCTGCTCTCTAGATACCTTCAAATGAACCTCTTCGTCTTCCGGGCGCTTCTCACTCTTCTCCTATTAGCAATGCTATTTTCGCTCCGCAGTCTATTCCACGTCCGCCTTCGGAGCAGCGACCCTCCCTGGTTCACCTCTCACCCTCTGCTTCTCAACAGCTACAATCATATTCGTTTTGTAGGCCCTCATTCGCCCAATGTGTCTTCAATCTCCTGCCCGTGTAATTGGGTCACTGGGTTTCTCTGTATCCTAAGATTGCCGTTTGCCACTGGGACAATCTCTACAAACTCTGATGTTGTCATCGGAGAGCTGGACAGGGATTCAATGAGTAAAATTGTTCAGCAAGGCTGTTGGGATGATCCCAGAATCGTAGGCCTCGTTGGCTCTTCTTCCTCTTTGGCTCCGTTATGGGTTTCCAGGGTTCTGTTGGTGTTACGGCATGACCCGCGATTGGCATTGAAATTCTTCAGCTGGGCGAAAACCCTCATTGGGTTTCGCCACACAACGGAATCCTACTGTTTGTTGGTGCACATTTTGTTCTACGGTAGAATGTATTTCGATGCCAGTGGCATTCTTAAGGAGTTGATCTTAGCAGGCAGGAGTTTGCCAGGTTTTGATGTGTTTGAAGTTTTGTGGTCGACGAGGAATGTTTGTGTCTCAGGGTGTGGAGTTTTGGATGCGCTTTTTAGTGTGTATATAGAACTAGGGATGCTTGATAAAGCTTATCATTGCTTTTCGAGGATGAGAAGTTGTAGAGTGTTGCCTAAAGCACGATCGTGCAATGCACTTCTGCATAGGCTAGCAAAGGAGGGGAAGAAGGAGGATGGTGCTATAAGGAACTTCTTTCGGAATATGGTTAGTGCTGGAATTTCTCCCTCTGTGTTTACTTACAACATCATGATAGACCATATGTGCAAAGAAGGGGATACTGAAGCTGCTAAAAGTTTGTTTGAGGAAATGAAGCACAAGGGTTTGATGCCGGATGTTGTAACTTACAATTCGCTTATTGATGGATATGGGAAATTAGGCTTTTTGGAGAATTCAGTGGGATTATTTAAGGAAATGGAGCAAGCAGGTTGTGAACCTGATGTAGTGACCTACAATGCATTGATTAATTGTTTTTGTAAATTCAATAGGATGGCTAGAGCTTTTCGGTTTTTCTCTGAGATGAAGCATAATGGAGTCAGACCTAATGTCATAACTTACAGCACACTGGTTGATGCATTGTGCAAGGAAGGAATGATGCAACAGGCCATTAAATTTTTTATAGACATGAAACGCCTCGGTTATTCTCCCAATGAGTACACTTATACTTCTCTTATTGATGCAAATTGTAAAGCTGGAAATTTGAATGAAGCATTGAAGCTGGCCAACGAGATGCTCTGGACAATAAGTTCTGAATTGAACATTGTTACATACACAGCTTTATTAGATGGCCTTTGTAAAGGAGGGAGGATTACAGAAGCAGAAGAACTTATCACTGGGATGCTGAAAGCTGCAGTAGCTCCTAACCTGAAAACTTACACTGCTCTTGCTCATGGATATATTAAAGTTAAGAGCAAGGAAGATTATATTGAATTTTTGAAGCAAATAAAGATGAAAGGATTTCAGCCTGATTTGATGCTTTATGGGACCATCATCTGGGGGCTTTGCACTGAAAGGAAGTTTGAAGAATGCAAGCTTGTTATGCTTGAGATGAAACAGAGAGGTATAAGTGCAAACCCTGTCATATACACAACACTCGTTGATGCTTATTTCAAAGCTGGAATGACCGCGGAGGCACTCAATCTGGTGCGGGAAATGTGGGACTCGGGTGTTGAGGTTACAGTTGTAACTTTTTGTGTATTAATTGACGGGCTGTGCAAGAAGGGTATGGTTCAAGAGGCAATTGATTACTTTACTACAATGCCCGAGTACGGTCTGCAACCTAATGTAGCAGTCTACACTGCCTTGATGGACGGTCTTTGTAAAAATAATTTCATAGAAGCATCTGTGACTTTGTTTAATGAAATGCAGGAGAAACATATGATTCCCGATAAGACAGCATACACTACTCTAATAGATGGGTATCTGAAGCATGGTAGCTTGCAAGAAGCATTAAATACAAGAAACAAGATGGTCGAGCTAGGTTTGCAGCTTGATCTTCATGCCTACACTTCGTTGGTTTCAGGTTGTGCTAGATGTGGCCATCTACAGCAAGCTAGGATATTTCTTACTGAAATGATTGATAATGACATTTTTCCAGACCGGATGCTTTGTGATAGCCTACTAAAGAAGTATTATGAGCAAGGCCTTACTGCCGAAGCGATTGAATTGCAAAATGATTTGGCGAAGAAGGGTCTGATAAATGGCAGTTACGACTGTGTTCTTCCTAAAGTCTGAGATGGGACTTATTCTCACATCAAGATTCAAGACACTGAAAAACACTTGAATAGAATGGATACTGATTAGGTCCTTCAGGAAAAGAACCGATTGATACATGAAAGTGTGGTTGTCAGATGACTGACTTACTCGCCCATTGTGCTTTTCCCGGATCAACAACTTCCGAAGTACTTTGCAGTAAGTCTTACTCTCATTTTTCTGCTCTTTTTATTTGTTGATGTCCGTTTCATACTGCCCACTGTAACTTCGTGAAGCTGAACCAAACTTGCAATTGACTGACTGTGCATTCTTGCTCCATTGTATTTGTCATCATATAGCCCACTTGCAATTCTTGCTGCAAAGCATTTACGCAAGTGCTGGATTCAATGTGCTCCAAGAAGCAAAGCACTTCATTGGCAAGTCACAAAAGTGAATATGATTGAATCTCCAGAGCTGAATGTGTATTCCTGAAATGGTTCGTGAGTTGACTACTGCCATGATTACAGTTCACTCTACTTCATTATTTTCTTAGCTGATAATGTGGCGTTAGGTCGCCAAACTACTGGAAGGCTGTTCTGCTACCCTGTCCCTTAACCTTGACAAAAGGCCGCTTCAGCAGGATTTGGTGTATTTTGAAGACATGGTGCACAAGCTTCTGGATTGCATACTTTTGCCGGCTTCGTTACTGCTTTTATCTTCACAGGTTCTTTTCTTCTCCCTGTTTCATTCTCTAGCTTTTGCCTTAGCTTTTTCTCAACAATAAAGAACAAGCACTGGCTCACTGTAGAAGGATGTGGAGAAGGATCGACTTCCTGCACACCGTGCTTGAATTGGGTTACAATTTCGTCTTCACGGTAAATCATTCGCATCCGGCTCCCTCCATTTCTGTTTATAATTTTCTGTAGCTAAGCCAATTGTGTGTAATGAATGCTTTCAACATCCAGGATACAGATATAATGTGGTTTAGGGATCCATTTCCACGGTTTTATCCAGATGCGGACTTCCAGATTGCGTGTGATCACTATTCAGGGGATAGTGTTGGTTTAGGAAACATAGTCAATGGAGGGTTTAGTTATGTGAAGGCTAATAATCGTTCCATAAGAGTTATACAAGTTCTGGCACTCGTCGCGTGACACTTACCATGATCAAGATGTGCTGAATTTTATCAAGAAAGATGAGTATGTCAAGGACCTTGGGTTGAAGATGAGATTCCTGGACACGGCTTATTTCGGTGGACTTTGTGAGCGGAGCATACTCATCAACTAGGTATTTCTAGCTATTTTCTTTTTGTTTCTTCAACAGTTTATCTGCTTACTGCATTTTCGATAGTAGTGTCGTCTTCGTCCTGTTTTGCTTCTTCCTTCCTGTTGCGTGATTCTTAGTTAGCACTGGAACTAGAAAGAATACTACAACTCTCTATTAATTACTTCAATTTCCGTTTTGCATCCTCTTTCTAACTTTGCCAAACTTCCCTCTTCCAAAAAGTTAGCACGGTAAGCTTTAAAGGGGTTTTCGGCCATCGATTTTTGCTTGTTGTTGCTGCCTGCTGTTTGTGTTTCTTAGTCGAATTTGTGTTTCTTTTCGGCCAGCGATGTCGGGCTGGAGTAAGATCCGCGAAAAGCTTCCTCGATTCGTGGAAGACACGCTGGATGGCAGCTATCGCGAGGTCCTGATTGACGGCTTGTTAGTGCTGACCTACAGTGGTCTTGTCACTCAGCTCTTCAAAGGCGATTCGGCAACGAAGGAGGATCTTGCCTCGGCTGTGGAGAAAATCACCGACAAGGTCTCCGACGAGAGGTAGATTCTCAATTGCAATAACCTGCTTTAGTGGTTTGCTTGTTCATTTAGTGGTTTGCTTCTTCATCTGGTGTGTGTTCATTTGGGTGCTTGTTGTGTCTTGATGGGCTGCTTGTTTGTCCTTGTTTAATGGCTTCTAATATGTGTTTCTGCTTTCAGCGGGAGTTTACAGACTGAGATAAAGGAAGTGAAGGTGTGCGCTCGCGAGCTGAAGGTGAACGCTCAGGATCTGAAGGTGCAGATCAATGAAATATAGACGTGGGCTAAGAAGGTCGAGCTGGAGAGGACCAAGAGCGACCTGAACGAGGAGACCAACCAGATTGGCCAGGTGAAGGAGAGTGGCAACGATCAGCTGAAAGAGGGTGGTAACAATGGAGATTAATGAGGGATTTCACGTGGCAAAGCTTTTGTTCGTCTTGGATTGTGTCATGGTATTGGATGTTACTAGATACTGCTTTTTTTGGGTTGGTTATGATGGAGATTGCAAATGTTTTTAAGCTGAAGTCAAATGGAGACGAACTTGAATGACTTCAGCTTAAAAACATTTGCAATCTCCACCATAACCAACCCAAAAAAAGCAGCATCTAGTAACATCCAATACCATGACACAATCCAAGACGAACAGAAGCTTTGCCACGTGAAATCCCTCATTAATCTCCATTGTTACCACCCTCTTTCAGCTGATCGTTGCCACTCTACTTCACATGGCCAATCTGGCTTGTCTCCTCGTTCAGGTCGCTCTTGGTCCTCTCCAGCTCGACCTTCTTAGCCCACGTCTGTATTTCATTGATCTGCACCTTCAGATCCTGAGCGTTCACCTTCAGCTCGCGAGCGCACACCTTCACTTCCTTTATCTCAGTCTGTAAACTCCCGCTGAAAGCAGAAACACACATTAGAAGCCATTAAACAAGGACAAACAAGCAGCCCATCAAGACACAACAAGCACCCAAAATGAACACACACCAGATGAACAAGCAAACCACTAAATGAACAAGCAAACCACTAAAGCAGGTTATTGCGATTGAGAATCTACCTCTCGTCGGAGACCTTGTCGGTGATTTTCTCCACAGCCGAGGCAAGTGCTGAAGGAAGCTCACATATTCCTCTGCTCAAGCAACTCAACGGGCAAATGAATGAATTTAGGAAAGCTTGTTAATGTCACTGGTCAAGTTATTCGAAGAGATTTGAAAAGAAATCAAATTAGCACAACCTACCTTTTCTGCTCACAAGCCAGGAATGGAAGTCCATCAAAGAGACGTTGGGAAGCCAGAGTATAAGGAGACTCAAAGGCTGGAGCTGTGCTGTACCTTTTTCAAGCAAAACAAGAAAGAAAGGGCTGTGAATTTGCTAGTGATCTTGTTAAGAAAAAGAGAGTTAATCCGAGTGGTTGCTTAGCTAACTAGGTGTATTGAGTCTCGAGTTCTGAGCAGGGATACAGCCTGGTTAGGGAGAATTGCCAGCTTAGGCTGAGAGTTCTTTGTTATAAGTGTCGTTGTAACAGAGAACTTGGAAGAACCAAATCAGTAGTGAAACGTTGAAGGTCTCAAGAAGAGAACCTTCAACCGTGGATTAGTCGGAACAGGGATACTTATTCTCCCTGTCCCGGATACCACGTAAAAATTGCCTGTGTGTTCATTCCTTTCAGTTTTCTGATTTGCTTAATTGTTTTGCTGCTTGCTGAAGAGTGATTGACACAGGGAAGACGAACAGGAGCAGAGTCAGGAAGGAAGAAGCCTTCTCTGCTTCGCTGCTACGTTAAGTCTGAAATCAAAGAATTGGGCTCACAAAATAATTCGTCTGGGCCGAGAACTTCATTCATAATAAACAGGCCCATTATCTGTTTTCGGTTGATTTTTTAGATTTACATTCTTGGTTTCATGCATTCGAGTTTCACATCCATTTCAATTAACTCAAGAATTCTTTTAGGATTCCTCCTTGCAGAATCGAAGAACCCGATCTTCCTCTAGGTCTCGCGCTCGACCTCCACCTACACGTGGTATCAGAGCCCGGCTCCGAAATCAAGGCTTGAAATCCTTCGGAGAAGATGAGTTCGAGCTCTGCGACGGGTATGGGGATCTACATGGCCGATGGTTTCTCACAAACACGACCGCCTCGATTTGAAGGAGTACACTATGGGTACTGGAGAAATAGAATGTAGTTATTCATCTGCTCCACTGATCCAGATCTCTGGGATATCGTAATGGACGGGCCTTTAGAAGTCAAGGAAGCTCGAGGGAAGTGGACTGAAGACGACAAGAAAAATTTCCAGTTGAACTCGAAGGCAACCAACCTAATGTACTGCGCATTAGGCCCTGAAGAATACCACAGGGTCACGGGATGCAAGACAACCAAGGAGATTTGGGATAAGCTGCAGATCGCTCATGAAGGAACATCTCATGTCAAGATTTCCAGAATCAACAGTCTTAAACAGGACTTTGAATCCTTTGTCATGAAGCCCGAGGAATCGATCAAGGAGATGAATGATCGATTCACTACAATCGTCAACAGTTTGAGAAACTTGGAAGTCGAATATCCAAGTGCTGATCTCGTGCGAAAAGTACTCTGGGCATTACCAAAACGATGGACTCCAAAGGTCACGGCAATTGAGGAGTCAAAAGATCTTACCAGACTCAGTTTGGATGAGCTGATAGGTTCGCTGATAACTCATGAAGAAAAGCTGAGAAGAGAAGAGATAGATGAGCCAAAGAAAGAAAAGCGGAGCATAGCACTTAAAGTCTCATCATTTGGAGAAGACTTGGATGGGTTAGAAGACATGGAAGATGACGAGCTGGCATTGCTAAGCAAGCAAGTTGCCAGACTATTAAAGATGCGCAGAGACAAAAGGAAAGGAAACTCACCTAGCAAGATAGAAGACAACAGAGATCAAAAGGAGAGAAATCGGTTTGGGTACAGAAGTAGAAGAGAAGGAAGCAACGAGAAAGGTCAACCACAACCAAATTGCTACAAGTGTGGGAGATCAAGACACATAAAAGCTGATTGTCCCCTGACAAAAAAGGCTTTTGCTGCTACCTGGAGTGGTAGTGAAGAAGATGAAGAGGAAGTATGCAGACAAGAGGCATACATGGCCATTGGTGAAGAATCAGAGGACGATGACATCAATCAGGTAAAGTCCTATTACTCGGTTTCCTTTTGTGAAGATGATCAAATGTTAGACACAATACGAGACATTCAACAAGAGTTTGCTAACGTAAAACAAAAACACATCAAAATAAAAGCTGAATTCGAAACTCTTCTGTTCAACTATGAAACTCTTAAAAATGAAAAACAGAAGGTTGAAGATGACTTAAAAAATGTCCTAGATAAGAATGCAACCCTCGAGACTAAACTTGCTGCCTCTGAAGACAAAGTAAAATTCTTAGAAAGAAACAAATCCGGAGCTAGGAATCTAAATCTTAAGTATGGAAATAAGAAAACAATGGAATGTTATTACTGTCACAAGCTTGGGCATCGTATAAGTAACTGCAGAAAGTTAATAGCTAAAGAGATCAAGTCCAAACAGGTCTCAAACCATGGTCATAAGCAAGAAGGACGTATACATAAAAACTATCAAACCTTTAGGGAATTCAAGTTAGTTTGGAGACCTAAAAATAAGTGATCCACTTTCTTTTGCAGACCTGTCTCCAAGTGGGCATGGAAGGCAGTGTTTGGGTTCTTGACAGTGGATGCTCACATCACATGACTGGGGATAAAACGCTATTCACTGATCTCACACTTAGAAAGAAAGGTAAGGTATTTTTTGGTGATAACTACAGTACTGAAATTCTAGGTAAAGGAACCATAGGTAATTCACCCTCTATAAGTAATGTTATGTTAGTGAAAGACTTAAAACATAACCTACTGTCTATAAGCCAATTGTGTAAAAATGAAAACAAAGTCATCTTTGAACCAAATGGATGCACAGTTGAAAACATCTTGACTAAGAAAATTCTGTTTACTGGTAAGAGAAGAGGAAAACTATTTATTGTCGATTTAAATGACAAAAAGACCTTTAATGAATCCTGCCTGATATCATGTTACAAGGATGACCAACTAGAATGGCATCGAAGGCTTGGTCACATTAGTGTAGGGATCTTATCTAAACTAGTCAATTTGGAATTAGTCAGAGGTGTCCCAAATATTCATAGTAAAAAGGAATTTTTCTGCGAGGCTTGTACAAAAGGAAAACATGCTCGAACCTCCTTCAAATCTAAACAAATTCTCTCAACCAACAGACCTCTTGAGCTTTTACATCTGGATCTTTTTGGTCCAAGTAACATTAAGAGCTTAGGAGGGAAATATTATGCCTTTGTCATCGTTGATGACTACTCTAGATTCACTTGGGTATTATTCCTCTCTAGTAAAGATGAAGCTCTTCTAAAATTCAAAAACTTTGTAAAACAAGTTGAAAATGAAAAACAGTCCAAGATAATTAATATACGAAGTGATCATGGTGGAGAATTTGAATCTGAAAAATTTGAAGACTTCTGTAACTCACTTGGAATCCTTCACAATTTCTCAGCTCCTAGAACTCCTCAACAAAACGGTGTAGTTGAGAGAAAGAATAGAACCCTTATTGAAATTGGAAGAACCATGCTGAATGATTATGGAGTTTCAAAGAAATTCTGGGCTGAAGCCATCAACACAGAATGTTATGTGGTAAACAGGGCTCTAATTCGCTCAAAACTTAATAAAACTCCTTATGAGCTTTGGAAAAATCGAAAACCAAACCTGGGATACTTTCATCCCTTTGGCTGTAAGTGTTATATCCTAAATACCAAGGATTTGCTAGGAACATTTGATTCCAAGTCAGATGAATCAATTTTCCTTGGTTATTCCACAAACAGTAGGGCTTATAGGGTGTTTAATAAGAGGACTCTCAAGGTAGAAGAGTCCATTAATGTTATATTTGATGAGTCTGTGAGTAAGAATGCAGAGACTATAGAGGATGATGATGATTTTGGACTCGGTAGTAATCTAATCAAGGTCTCAGAAGCAACAAGTACAAAGATACAACCTAATGATGAGGAAACAGTAGTGGACAGACCAGAAGCACCTCCACATATACAGAAGAGGCATCCCTCTTCTCAGATCATTGGTGACTTGAATACAGGTATGGTTACACGCTCCAAGTCTTATCCAGAACATACTGCTTTTATTTCTCAAATTCTTCCTAGAAATATAAAGGAAGCACTTGAAGATGAATTCTGGACAGCTGCTATGCATGAGAAAATGAATCAGTTTGAAAGAACCAGAGTTTGGGATCTAGTTCCCAAACCTGAAAACGGAACTATAATTGGAACTAAATGGGTATATAAGAATAAAACTGATGAAGTTGACATAATAATGAAAAATAAAGCTAGATTAGTAGCTCAAGGGTACAATCAAGAAGAGGGGATAGATTTTGAAGAGACTTTTGCACCTGTTGCTAGATTAGAAGCCATAAGGCTACTATGTGCTTTTGCAGCAGCAAAAGGTTTCAAACTATTTCAGATGGATGTCAAAAGTGCCTTTTTAAATGGAGATCTAAAAGAGGAAGTATATGTATCTCAACCTCCTGGTTTTGAAAATCCAGAACACCCAGACTATGTTTACAAACTCAACAAAACTTTATATGGTCTTAAACAGGCTCCTAGAGGCTGGTATGATAAATTGAGTCAATTCCTTTTAGATGATGGATTCCACAGAGGGAAGGTAGAAAAAACTCTGTTTATTAAAAACTCAGGAGGTCACACTCTGTTAGTGCAAGTCTATGTAGATGATATTATCTTTGGGTCTACTTGTCCTAACCTGTGTTCTGCCTTTGAAAACAGTATGAAGAGTGCTTTTGAAATGAGTCTTATGGGTGAACTAAACTTCTTTCTTGGGTTGCAAGTTAAACAAACCTTTTCAGGCACCTTTATAAATCAAAGCAAATATCTTCATAACATGCTCAAACGTTTTAACTACGAGAATCTTAAATCAGCTTCTACACCCATGGGATCCACCTCTAAACTTTCTAAAGATGAATCTGGGACTGACATAGATAGTAAGCTGTATAGAGGAATGATAGGTTCTCTCTTATACTTAACAACTAGTCGTCCAGATATAATGTACAACGTGTGTGTTTGTGCACGCTTTCAGAGTCAGCCTAAAAATAGTCACTTGTCTGCTGTTAAAAGAATCTTTCGATATCTGGCTGGTACCCCTGACTTAGGTCTGTGGTATTCCAGACATTCCAGTTTAAATCTCAATAGTTACACAGACTCAGACTATGCAGGTTGTATAGTTGATCGTAAAAGCACCTCTGGTGCTTGTCATTTTCTTGGATCCTCCCTCATTTCTTGGTTCAGCAAAAAACAGAACTCTGTCGTCCTCTCTACTGCAGAAGCAGAGTATGTGGCAGCTGGTTTCTGCTGTACTCAAGTCCTCTGGCTCAAGTATCAATTACTTGATTATGGAATTACTCTAGGATCTTTACCTATCTTCTGTGACAATACCAGTGCTATAAACATGTCAAAGAACCCTGTCCAACATTCTCGAACAAAGCACATTGAAGTTCAATATCATTTTATTCGAGATTTAGTCCAAGATGGTAAGATACATCTTGATTTCATTAGGACTGACTGTCAATGGGCCGATATCTTTACTAAACCCTTGCCAGTAGACCAGTTTCTTCACATCAGGCGTGAATTAGGGATCTTTTCTCCCCAAGATCTGGGTAATCTCTAGGAGCATCATTACTTGCCTCTTCTCATTCCTAATTGATACTCCTTCCTTATTTCACTTGCTTATGGATACTGGCCTCTCTGGAACTTACCTTGTCTAGTTTCTTCTTCTCTATAAGTACCTCAGATCTCTTAGTCCTTCAGTCACTCACCACTTCTCTTTCGAAATACATCTTTTCATCTCCTCATAAAAAATGGTCAACAATGCTCAACTTCATCATGCTGTTACCTTCTCCAACAAGGTATTCCGCAAAGACAAGGAATATCCTAGGTATCTGCGTCGATTCCGCGATCGTGCCATTAATCCATCCTTCACCATCCAACCCTCTGCTTTTTCTCGATATGACATGGACATCCCTACACTGATACGTAATCTGGGATGGGAATCCTTGTTCGAAGATCAGCGTTATACCTACTGTCCAGAAGCTGTGAGATTGTTTTATGTCAATCTCAAACGTGGGACAGGGCCAGATCTCTATTCCTTCAAGACTACTGTTGGTAACTTCGAGATCACTGTCACTGCAGACTTGTTGGCCAGTGAACTTGGGCTGCCCCATGATGGACTTAAGGCTGGTGATGATGGTCAGTTCCATGACTATCATTTTGACTACTGTCATGTCATGGACACTCTTGTTCATGACATTGGTCGCTTCTTCCCAAATCAGCACTCTGCTGGACGTTTACCTGATGACCTGCGAGTGTTGCATTTCTTCATCACGAGGATCCTCCTCCCTAGATCTCTATCCAGTGCTACTCTGCTTCACACTTCCGATATTTGGATCCTTCATCATGCCAGGACTGGTCAACGTATAAGCTACGCCTCTCTGGTCTTCTGTCATCTAGTCAAGTACGGTGATGACAACTATGATGGGCGGTTGCCTCTAGCACCCCTCATCACTCAGCTGCTCAGGAAGTTAGGCGTCGACCTCCGCGATAAGGTCACCCTCTGTAATGTTCATGATGATCTAAAGGCCCAACATGTCCTAGCTCGCCTGGATGCCAGTGTTGGCCCCCGTAAGCCTGTCACTGGCTCAGGGGGAGAAGCTGCTACCTTAGCCAAGGCCTTAGTTGCTGCGGCAGAGGTTGTAATCGATCGAGAACTCTCTGGCTTCTCTAATGAACTGAAAGGGAAGCGCAAGATACCTGTAACTACTCTAGCCTCTTTATCCACTCGACTGAAGCTACTCAAGGATGGAGGGGGTATAAGTAGCTCAGGTATCAGAGAGGAGGATGAAGCTGTTGAAGAACCTGAAGACTATGCTGACGTTTCTGACTATGACTCTCCACCTCACTATCCATTTTAATAAGACTCTTGAAGTCTACCTAGGTTCTAGTCCAGAGTCTAAACGAATGTTAGCTAGAACAAAAGCAGCACTAGCTGCCCCCTTATTGTCTTTCAGTTTTCTTAATGAATAAAGTCCTGAATGGAATTGGAATTTGATTTCTGCTTGAAAGAATGGGATTTGAATAATATCTTCGAGAACAGGCTGCACCTACGTGTTTGCTTAGTTGTGTGCAGGCATTAGAGACAGGAAGCAGCAGGAACGAGCCATTGACAAGCTTAGGGGGAGCATGTTGAAGGAAGCTCACATATTCCTCTGCTCAAGCAACTCAACGGGCAAATGAATGAATTTAGGAAAGCTTGTTAATGTCACTGGTCAAGTTATTCGAAGAGATTTGAAAAGAAATCAAATTAGCACAACCTACCTTTTCTGCTCACAAGCCAGGAATGGAAGTCCATCAAAGAGACGTTGGGAAGCCAGAGTATAAGGAGACTCAAAGGCTGGAGCTGTGCTGTACCTTTTTCAAGCAAAACAAGAAAGAAAGGGCTGTGAATTTGCTAGTGATCTTGTTAAGAAAAAGAGAGTTAATCCGAGTGGTTGCTTAGCTAACTAGGTGTATTGAGTCTCGAGTTCTGAGCAGGGATACAGCCTGGTTAGGGAGAATTGCCAGCTTAGGCTGAGAGTTCTTTGTTATAAGTGTCGTTGTAACAGAGAACTTGGAAGAACCAAATCAGTAGTGAAACGTTGAAGGTCTCAAGAAGAGAACCTTCAGCCGCGGATTAGTCGGAACAGGGATACTTATTCTCCCTGTCCCGGATACCACGTAAAAATTGCCTGTGTGTTCATTCCTTTCAGTTTTCTGATTTGCATAATTGTTTTGCTGCTTGCTGAAGAGTGATTGACACAGGGAAGACGAACAGGAGCAGAGTCAGGAAGGAAGAAGCCTTCTCAGCTTCGCTGCTGCGTTAAGTCTGAAATCAAAGAATTGGGCTCACAAAATAATTCGTCTGGGCCGAGAACTTAATTCATAATAAACAGGCCCATTATCTGTTTTCGGTTGATTTTTTAGATTTACATTCTTGGTTTCATGCATTCGAGTTTCACATCCATTTCAATTAACTCAAGAATTCTTTTAGGATTCCTCCTTGCAGAATCGAAGAACCCGATCTTCCTCTAGGTCTCGCGCTCGACCTCCACCTACAGCAAGATCCTCCTTCGTTGCCGAATCGCCTTTGAAGAGCTGAGTGACAAAACCACTGTAGGTCAGCACTAACGAGCCGTCAATCAGGACCTCGCGATAGCGGCCATCCAGCGTGTCTTTCACGAATCGAGGAAGCTTTTCGTGGATCTTACTCCAGCCCGACATCGCTGGCCGAAAAGAAACACAAATTCGACTAAGAAACACAAACAGCAGGCAGCAGCAACAAGCAAAAATCGATGGCCGAAAACCCCTTTAAAGCTTACCGTGCTAACTTTTTGGAAGAGGGAAGTTTGGCAAAGTTAGAAAGAGGATGCAAAACGGAAATTGAAGTAATTAATCGAGAGTTGTAGTATTCTTTCTAGTTCCAGTGCTAACTAAGAATCACGCAACAGGAAGGAAGAAGCAAAACAGGACGAAGACGACACTACTATAGAAAATGCAGTAAGCAGATGAACTGTTGAAGAAACAAAAAGAAAATAGCTAGAAATACCTACTTGATGAGTATGCGGAGCTGCTTCCCTGTCTCCAAAAGTTGCGATGAACACCGGCAGAGAGGACCTTCTTGGCGTCTGCTTTTCTCCTAGAAGGTTTAGCTAAGTATTGCAATTTGCAGATCTGAAGGAGAATGTTTGTCTTATATTGGTGAAATCGTTTGCTCCTTTCTCTCTCACCTCTCTAACAAAGCAAGCTAACAGAATTTCCCACAACCCCAACCCCTATAATCCACCTGTCCCTCTACCTTTTGATATTCACAAATGATATAATATAATGGACTAATTCTGATATGCAATAACTTTAGTATAATGAGTCATATAGGAAATGGATAAGCTATGTGTACGGATATTTTATTTCAATTTTAAATTAATGTTACGTCATGTCAATAGCTCTGTTTTGAGAATCATATCGAATGCTGAATCGAAGGAGTTGACCATTTGTTAATTAACATGTGCTAGGAAAACTATTGTCACACATGTAAAAAAATTGTGTTCTTTAAAAATTTATGAAGCTTATTTGATATTGTTTCTGAGAACGCTCATAACCCGAAATGACCCAAAACTCGACCCGAAACCCGATGGGTTGGGTCAATATTTGACCCGAAATCAGCAAACCCAACATGACCCGACCCGTGAAGACCCGTAACCCGAGATTCCCAACCTGAAATTACCCAACCCGACCCAATTGCCAGGTCTATCTTCCACCATGCAACGGCCTGCTTTGCTTCTCCTTCTAAGCGTTCCACGCATTGTTTTTTGTCCCCGATAACCACTCACTGAGCTCCTCCATTTCTTCTTCCTCGATCGCTCATAATCATCTTCTCCTTCTTCGATGTTACATCACACTCCTCTTTCTACGATTCCTAACACCAGAGTAAACGAACAACCCCTTTATCTTAAAGGCGCCGACTAGGAGAAAACTTGTCATTAGCAAAATAAGTTTAGTGTTGGTATGGTCAGTGGCGTAGCCAGGATTTTGAGTAAGGGGGTGCCAATTTAAAAAAATTAAAATGACTATCAATTTTTTATAGTGACCCACGACGGGTTTTCATATTTTGAAAAGTCTGTAAAATACATTCGTTTACTTCTTGAATAAGCATGCAATTATGAGGTTTCTTAATTTAATTTACTTATTATTTGTAAACGGTAAATTATATATATGCAATAGAACGTATTATTGTATCATGTAAGTAATTGTTGTTTAGTGGAAGATGTCAAAGCTAATAGTAAGGGGGTTCCATATTCAAATCCTAACTATAGCATAAACTAATACCCCTATTTTTTAATGTTCTAGCCCCGACCCAAGGGTGTGCCACGGCACACCCTTCTAACACTGTGTCTCCGCCCCTGGGTATGGTTGCGTGTGTGAGAAATTGAGTTGACAAAGCCCTTCACAGGCAGCTTGATTAACTTACTATGCTCAATGTGGGGATTGACTTTGTGATGGCAGCATTTGATAATAAGCATTCAAGACTAATGAGTTGATTGAGATTATAAGAAGAAAAACTTAAATGTTATACAGATTATGCAAAGTCGGGATGAATAGGAAGTTAGCATAGTAAGGGCTAAGATCTGGTGACTAAGGGGGGTCCCCTTAGTCACATGGCTAAGTGAATCTCCACCCTTGCACCTCATTAAAATCCAAGGGCTCTTATTAATCCAATTTAATGAAGGGTAATGTAGTAATTGCATGTTTATTTTTAACTTATAATTATAAAAGAAATTAAAAAAAACCAGCGCCGGCCGGCTGGCCGTCCCCGTCGCCTCCCGCCTCCGTCCGATAATTGCGCGGCCTTTCCCTGGACAATTGGGCGCCATTATTTCCACCCAGAGAGTTCCTGTACGCCATTATGCTATTATTCACACAGAGAGAGAGAGAGAGAGAGAGAGATTTTCTGGTCGGAATTTTTTTTTCCGGCCACCATCGTCGCCGGAGAAGAATTTTCCGGCGACAGCGCTTTGTGATGTTTGTTGACATATTTTGTAATGTTTGTACGCTTTGTTATTTTGTAATGTTTGTAAACTTTGTTATTTTTGTCAACCATGTTTGTAATGTTTTTTATGTCTAAAAAACACCCGGGTTGACTTTGGGAAGGAGCCCCTCTATATAGGGATGGAGCCTCCAAAGTCAACCCGGGTGTTTTTTTCCCGTTCGTATGGATTGTCGGTCTAGTTTGTCATTTTTGTCCACCATGTTCGTACTGTTTGTATGTCTAAAAAACACCCGGGTTGACTTTGGGAAGGAGCCCCTCTATATAGGGATGAAGCCTCCAAAGTCAACCCGGTTGTTTTTTCTTTTTGTATGGTTTGTATTGTTTGTCGGTCTAGTTTGTATTGTTTGTACAGTTCATACGTTTGTAATGTTTGTAAATCTGTTTGTATGTTTTGTCGCTCTAGTTTGTACTGTTCGTATGTTTGTATGGTTTGTACTGATTGTAAATCTGGTTTGTATACTTCGTAATTTTCCATAATACCCAAACTACCCCTGTCATTAATTAAATAGCCCTTCCCACTTTTTAACCATTGGATTGAAGTGTCCAGATCTAAGGGCTGGGAGGGGCTTAGTCAAGTGACTAAGCACCCCCTTAGTCACTGGATCCGCTCTCGCATAGTAAAGCTGTGCAAAAGCCAAAAGGTTGTAGAAGAAAGGAAAAAACATCAAGACTAACGTCTAAATAATCTCGCATAAATTCTGAGTCCCGACAAGTTACACTAGGTTCTTCTTCTCAAATGGCTTGGCGATCAAGGAAGACCATTCAACGGTCACATCAGCAAGCGATCAACTCAGCATCAACAGGCTGGAATGGAGAGCTTTCCTTAGATGGCGATTCACCAATCAGAAGCATTCGATGAAAAGAAGCTTATCATTCCTAAGGTGATTCTGAATCTGGTGAACAAGGAAAGAACGCTCAAGTGTGACAGTCAAAATGTTAAGATTATAAAAGGGGCTCTTGGGTAGATAGAATTGGTGAACTTTTCCGGGAAATCAACACTACGAAGAGAGCAAAGCTTATCTGTTGTGGGTAGTTTGATAGGAAAAGGGTTCAAGCCATCGGGGAGATAGCTTGGGTCCAGTATTGGGGAAATACTGAGGTTTTGATCCACGGGGAGTTGATCAAAAGGATTAGAATCTGTTCGATTGGCTGGGGAGATTGATCGGGTGTTAAACTGTACACAACGAGCTTCAATTCATATCCTTGGTGGAGGGTTAATGTCATATTTGGTCACTGTGATTACTAAATTTTGTCATGTTTAGTCACTAGAAAAATTTAATATCAAATTTGGTCACTCTAATTACTAAAACATATCATGTTTAGTCACTCTCCGTCCAACTCCGTTAGTGGAGTCCGTTATGTGCTTATGGGGTTAATGGGAGCGCCCAGTCAACACCGTTTTGGCCCAAAAATGGTCAAGACCTGCCATGTCATACACCCAACCCAAACCATTAACCCGACATAGAACCAAACCCTAGCCCACCTAACCAAACCCTCTATCTTATTTATATGACTCTCTATCCACAAGAAGCCTTCAATCTTACATTCACGCTCACATCCCTTTGTTTTCTTCTTGTTCTGTAGTGTCCATTTATCCCTTTTCTACTTTTTTTTTTTGACAAAAGATAGATAATTATATTGATTCAGACCAAGAAAAGTTACACCCTGGAAAACAGCCAGGTCTGATAATCAAAGACAGGACTCATAGCCGGGGACAAAGAAAGGGCCTTTCTAGCCACCGAATGGGCTACCCTATTGCTACCCCGACCTACAAATCGAACCAAAAACTCTGACTGGGCCCTAAAATAATGCACCACTTCAGCAAGAACCGCTCCAGCCTGAGTGTCTCTAGCATCTCCCTGATTGACCTTATCAATGATCACCTTGGCATCACCTTCAAAGACAACGTTTGTAAATCCAAGCTCTAGACACCAGAAAATCGCTGCACGAAGCACCAGTAACTCCACCACCATGGGGTTATCGATCACGGGAATGTGCACCCCTTTAATCAACAGGATCTCACGAGAGGGAGTCAAAAGTACAATCCCTCCAGCTGAATGAGACCCTCTCTTCGTAGCACCATCCCACATACACACCATTCTACCAACCCCCACTGGAGGTAGCAGAGCAGACCCCGGTATAACCGTACCCTGCGTACTGCCTACCGGCGGCAAACTCATCCATTCCTCAACTTGCTGGTGGAACTGTCGCATTAAAGCGGGGATATCAAACTGTTTGCCCTCAAAGACCACCCAATTCCGAGACCGCCAGATCCTCCACAGGACGGCAACGACTGCCATGAATAGCGCGGGATGGTGAACCAAGGCAAGCAACTTCTTAAGAAAGAGTGGAAAGGTCTGCCGGGGCACCCCTTCGCCCAGGTACTCCAAACCCGAATAGTCCCACAGTGCACGAGCGACCGGGCAATAGAGAAATAAATGCTCCATTGTCTCCGAACTAGCCCAACACACCGGGCAACGCGGGTGCACCGGGACCTTCTTCTCAATAAGTGCCTCAGTGGTTGGGAGTGCCCGGCTAAAGATCTGCCAGAGAAAAACCTTTAACTTAGGGGGAATCTTAGCATCCCACACCCGGATCCAACTCCCCTTATCCATCCAACTTGCCAGGGACTGCCAACTACCCTTCCTCCTATCCAGGGACATCGCAAGGTGGTAAGCCGATTTGACAGTAAAAACCCCGTCCTTCGTACCATGCCAGATCAATTTATCCTCCATATTCTGCCGAGGCAGAGGGATTCCCTTAATTGCTCGACAAGTAACCGGATCAAACCACTGATTCAGTTTAGTATCATTCCACCTCCCCTCCCCTGGCCAAATAACCTCAGCCACCCTCGGGCCACCTTCAACTGGCAAAATCTGCGGGTTATAGCGCAAGTCTTCCAATGGAACACGCGGTATCCAATTAGACTGAAGGAGGGAGGCAGATCTACCATTCCCAATCTGCCACCGGAGGCCTTCTTCCAACAGCTGGCGCCCAAACAAAATGCTTTGCCAACCCCAGGACGGCCGAGATCGGGCTTTGGCTTGCAGAAACGATCCATTGGGGAAGTACTTGCCTTTATACACTTGGGCTAAAAGGGACTGAGGCTCAGAAAAGATACGCCAACCAATTTTAGCCAACAGGGCTTGGTTAAAATGCTCAAATCGACGGAACCCCATCCCCCCCTCGTGTTTACTTCTACACATATTCCTCCA